TCCATCCATCCATCCATCCATCCATCCATCCATCCATCCATCCATCCAAATGGCCTAACCTGGACATTTACTGCATGTCAAAGCACCCGAGTGCAAGGACGTTGCATGGAAAAGTTCAATGCACAGCACCTTCCAGTGAAAAAGGATCAGGTGGCCAACGGATACTGGGCAGCCCTAAACTCATCTGACCAAGAACACCCCTGGCTTAACGAATGTCTCACAGTCTTTCCTTGCCCTTACCTTGTCGTAGCGAAGAGCCTGCACAATCTGCGGAATGTAGAAGAGAATAGCATCCTGAGGGGGGTGGAGGGAAGGGAGAAGAAAGAAAAAGGAGTTAGGATTTCTTTTTTTCCAAAGTACCGACATTCTAGCTTCAAGAGCGTCTCCTTCCATCATCAACAGGCAAAGACCTGCATTTTGGACTCCATGCTGGTTGCCAAGCACCCAAATTTTCAACCTATCAATTAATCAATCAGTCGAGCAATCAATCAATCAGAATAGAACTGAAAGGGACCTTGGAGGTCTTCTAGTCCAACCCCCTGCTCAAGCAGGAGACCCTATATCATTTCAGACAAATGGTTATCCAATCTCTTCTTTAAAAACTTCCAGTGTTGGAGAATTCACAATTTCTGGAGGCAAGGAGTTCCACTGGTCAATTGTTCTCACTGTCAGGAAATTTCTCCTTAATTCCAGGTTGCTTCCCTCCTTGCATGTATTTGGGAAAATAGGCTGACCCCCTGTTCTATGCGACAATCCCTTAGATCCGCGATGGCGAACCTATGGCATGTGTGCCAGAAGTGGCACACACAGCCATCTCTGCCAGCACACTAGACGTCGCCCCAGGTCAGGTCCACTGCGCATGCCAGCCAGCTGATTGGGTATCTGCCATGAATGCGTAGAGGGCGGGGCAAATTCAGGAGATGTGTGGGCATGTGCAGGGGGCGGGGGGGCGCGCGCACGCATTGCACTGAGTGCAGGTGTAGACGAAAAGGTTAGACATCACTGTGTTAGGCACCCAGAAATTGTCCATGGTAATCAATCACTCCGAGACAAGTATAATCTCCAACTGATCTATTAGGAACAGCTCTGGTATGTCTATGGGATTTCCCAAACCGATAGTCATTTTCAGCGTGCGTTTCACAAAACCCACCTTCTCTCCTCCCACTTCTTACCCTTCCATTAATCACGAGAACCAATTAAATGGCAGCTGGAATTTTTTTTTAATGCGACCTACGAAATAGCCTTGAACTTTCCAACTCCTCTACCCGCCCCCCCTTTTTCTTTTCCTTATAACATTCTTGGCAGCTGAATCTCAGAGCTGACACACTGCCTTAGATATGGCAATGCTGCCATGCCATGCCACGCCAAACTGAAGTTGGGAAAAATGAGGGGGGGGGGGGGGTTTATTTGGGGGCCCGGGGCTTTGGTGCTTTCGCCCACAGAGACTTTTAAGATTTTTTTTTGGGGGGGGGGGGGGAATGACTTACTTACTTACTTACTTACCGGAGGGAAAGACCGCAGCACTTTTACCCCGTACTGAGCTGTCAAAGGATGAGGGGGGTACATGCTGGAGAAATAGGAGAGGCCCGTTGGTGGGTCGGTGGGAGTCCAGCACAGGATGTGGCTGAGCTCTGGAGCGTCGGCATCGATGGTGTGCCAAGTAACAAGATACTGAAAAGCAAGGAGGAGTGAGGGGAGGACACACACACACACATACACGTGAACCCCAATAGCAATAGCACTTAAGACTTATATACCGCTTCACCAGGAGTGGGATTCAAATTTTTAACAACCGGTTCTGTGGGCGTGGCTTAGGGGGTAGGCGTGGCTTGGTGGTCATGTGACTGGGTGGACGTGGCTTGGTGGTCATGTTATTGGTTGGGCATGGCCAACTCAATATCACTCACATCGAGGCACGCCTGGCCTCGCCTGGCCTCTCGTGACTGTGGGGATGCTACAACAGTCGTTAAGTGTGAAAAATGGTCATAAGTCCCTTTTTTCAGGGCCATTGTAACTTTGAATGGTCACTCCACACAAGCAAA